CAGAACTGTCCAGGGCCTGCCCCTGGCCATTCCCCAGGCTTCTGCCTGCCCCAGGGCCTCACTCCACCATTACAGCTGCAGTACAGTGGGCTGACGGGGTCAGCAAGCCTCAGGAGATCTGCCTCAGGAGTGGGTAGAGGATGCTGGGAAGTGGTTTGGGAGCACTCTCTGCATGCCATGCACTTTAATGGCACAGCCACAGACCCACACAAGACAGCAGGGGAGAGCTGGCTCTGCAAAGAGTCCCCCCAGGCCTCTGAAAGCCTGAGGGGCGGGCGGAGAGCCTAATGAAGTTGGAAGTCAAGTTCCACCACCAACTAGATGCGTGGCTCTGGGCCATTATTCGAACGCTCCCTGACCCCAGTCCTCAGTTACACTCCAGCAGTAAAATGTGTTGGGATGCACTAGAGACATGGCTATCAGCAACCTGGTCATTAGAATCATCTGAGGTGCCTTAAAGCCACCCATGCCCCAGGCCCACACTGAGGGAGTCTAACTGACCTGGTTCAGTGTGAGGTCCAGACTTGGGTTTGGATGTAAAGTTCTCCAGGTGATTCTGATGAAACCAAGATGACAAACCAAAGAAAACCTTCAAGTATGCACATCTCTCCCGACTTCCCACGAATCCCAGCCTGGCTTCAGAATTGCTTTCAAAACAGCGCTCTGCTAGTCACCAACAGTGGGTTCAAGTTGGTCTGCACAGTGCAACCAGCTCCCCCTTCCTGCATGAGATGATAGCTTAGGGGGTCCTTTGCCTCCAAAACCCATGGCTCTTGGTTCTCCACAACTACTCATTTTCTACAAGAAGTTAAATCCTCAACTACATTTCAGCAGGTCTGTCTTCAGCTTCTTCTGAGTCTGGTCATGTCTACACTTGGAAATCATCTTGAAAAGAACAGCAGAAGAATCAAAAATTGCAACTGGAAGTGTCAGTGATCCCGATTCCAGCGTGGATGGTAAGTCCACACTATGCTGAATGCCGTGCTGGGATCATCTTGTTTATTCCTTATCATTGGTTGACTTCTCCTCACAAGCAATGTGTGTTTCTCAACCCTGACTCAGAGGAATATGGAAGAGTTTGCATCAGGCTCCCTGGAGGTGGGTGTGAGATTAATCCTATCCCCTCTGCACCCTGCCCAGCCTGGCAGTCCATGTCCTGGCAGGGGAAGCGGAGCCCTGATGGGGTCCTGGCTGTGCCCATACACAGCTGGGGCTCAGATGGCCCCTGGTGCAGTGAATATAAATTTACAGAAGCCCATCAGAGGGTGCCGGGGGCAAGGGGCAGCTCCTAGCCACCCTAAAGACGAAGCATCTCGTTGGACATTATGTGAACTTTGTGGGGATAGAGTGATTGGCAAGGTCAGGTGCTCCAAGAAGGGTGTGATTCAGGAGGACCCACCAAGAGGCTCTATTTGCCTTGCACTCCCCTCCCTGCTGCCTTGTTTTGGGGCCTCATGTCCCCTCCCTTCAGGCCTCCTGACCCTAAGAAGGAAGACACTGATTTGGCTGCTCAGGAAACATTCCCAGATAAACCCTGACATTGAGCAGGGTCTGGAAAGGGGAGAAAAATGGAGGAGGAAGTCTCAGAGTGGCTGGCATGGAGGTCCTAGCCACTGAAGAATGATATGAGCAGCTTGAGGTCTAGGAGGAGTGGGGTGGGGAGCAGGGCATCGGCACATCTCGCACCCCAGACTTCCCTGACTGCAGGCCAGCAAGGTCCAACAGAGAGAGAAGGCAGGCACAGGTGTCACATGAAATGCTCTGCCAGTAAATAGAAATGGGTGCAATTAATTTTAATTACATATTATATTTAACTTCATCATTTCACTATGAATTCTATATAAAATTACTAGTTCTTATTTTCAATGTTTCTGTGGAAAAAGAGGTCTCACTATGTTGCCCCAACTGGTCTTGAACTCCTGGCCTCAAGTAATCCTCTTCCCTTGGCCTCCCAAGCCCTGGGATGACAGGTATCAGCAGCTGAGCATGCCCAGAAAGGTATTAATTTCCTACATAGAGTATGTAATGCGAAGCCTCAGGACTTGTGTTTTTTTAAACCTATAGCATATCTATTTGGACGGGTCATGTTTCAAGTGCCTCGTAGCCACCTGTTGCTGGTGGCCTCTGTGCTGGACAGCACAGCTCTAGATCTGGCTCATGCTGTCCCTTCTCCAGGAACACTCACCCTGAACAGCCAGGTCCACTTGACAAGTCCTGTCTGTGAAGCCCCAGCCATGAGAGATCACTCCTGCCCCAGCAGCCATGGAGCCTGTGCCTTTCCCACAGCACGGTGCTCCATCTGGGTGAGAGGACTACAAGGTCAACGTCCCCATCAGAGGGGAGCTCCTGGGGTCACACCAACCCTTGCTTCTGCATCAGGGATTCTTTTATGCTCTGAAGAAAAGTTGCTCTAGAGACGTGCTGAACTGGAATGTGGGTATGTATGCTCATTTTAGGAGTTTTTCTTAGGATGGCTCCTTCACACACATGAGAAGGCCAAGGCAGGAGCAGGTAGGGTGGGGACAGTGGGATCCGGGGAGGGGGCAGTTTGCCAGAGACATGTTTTGTACTCATGAGGTTTCCTTGGCATAGTTTCTCTCCTGGGTAGGTTGCTGCTCATCTCCACGGAGGATGAACTGTTCTGTGAATGTTTTTTAAAACCCAAGATGCAGCAAATCCATTTGGAGGGAGCATATTGAGCTGTAATCTATCAACCATTTTACTGAAACATGACCTCCTGAGCACTGTTAGGGAGAACCTAGCTGCAATTCTTTCTTAAAAAAGGAAAATTTTGTTGGGAAATGAAATTAAGCCAGAGAAAAGTCCAATAGTTTGAAATTGGAGTCTTGTCACCTATCCTCTGAAGGTTCAAGTTCACCTCATTAGCCCAAGGCTGCCTGTCTTCTGGTACCTAAGAGGAGGGGCTCTGTTTGGCCTCCCTGTCTGATGCACCATCCCTCACTGCATCAAAGCCTTTCTTAGTGCAGCAGCCAGTCCTGGGCAGGGGCACTGTGGGTGGTGTTGTAAGGGCCAGAGGGAAGAAGAGCAAAGACCACACATGTCATCCACCAGGTCTGTGCCACATGTTCCCATGGTCTCTGTCCTTATATCCTCACAATGCTGTACTCTCTTCTGGAGACCCAGAGAGGCCACATCACTGGCCCAAAGTCACACAGCAGGATGTGGGGGAGCTGGGGTTTGGGCTCCAGGGAAGTGCACTCCAGAGTCATGCTGCTAGGTCCTCTGCCACACCTCCCTTGAGAGAAATCTGTTCTCCTCTGTCACCATGCCCAGGCTTTGTGTCTTGTGGAAAACCCTGAATGATGTAAGCTCTGGTTTCCTGGCTGGATGTGGTGGGTCGAGACTAGTGGTTCTCAACCAGAGGTGATTCTGATCCCTAGGGAGCATTTGGCGATGTCTGAAGACACTTTTAGTTATTAGAACTTAGAGGGACCTGAAAGGGTACCCCTGCCTCACTGGGAGTTCTACTGGCATCCAGTGGTCAGATGGCAGGGGTGCTGCTGAATACCTCGTGCCCAGGACAGCCCCTGGCATCAAAGAAGTATCTGGCACAGAATGTCAGTGGCGCTGAGGTCTAGTGGGCAATTTTAGAAAGAAGAGCCAATAGTTCTGCTCTGGTCAGACCCATCCAGAGACCTGCAGCCAGGTGTTAGTCCCACATTCAAAGCAAGACAGAGCTAATTAGATCTTCCCTAGAGAAAGCAGCATGCCACAGAAGTCAGGGGAAGGCACCCTGTCTATCTGGGGAAAAGAAGAGGGGAGCTGGTCTCTAGGAAGTCAGGCTCAGTGACTGCAATCCACAGGGGCTCTTTGGAGTGGAGGATGGCATTCTGTATGACAGAAAAAAGAACCAGGATCAGAGGCAGAGGCCAGAGCAAATCACACTTCAGCTTAGTGTAAGGACACATGGCAAATGGGAGGAAACAGGGTGAACTGTCCACAGGGCCCCCTCACTGTGGCATGCATGAGCACTGGTGACGCAGGGGTGCCCCGCCTGGTTCCTGCAGCTGAGAATACTGGTGGCTGGGATCTGTTCTTTTTCTGGGACTCTCTCTCTCTCTGTCTCTCTCTGTCTCACACACACACACACACACACACACACACACACACACACACACACACGAGAGAGAGAGAGAGAGAGAACCCTGCACAGATTCTCCTTCCCAGATTCAATGAAAGCTTCCACATCCACCTTCTAATAACCATCAAAGTTCCCTTCTGATTGTCAACTTCTCAACTAGTTAAGCCCCTTTAGATCCAAAGCTGTGGAGTTTTTATTTTCCCTCCAGTGCACAAAACTGATTGGGTAATATGTATTTTTCTTCTTTCTGGCTAACACATGTGGGGAGTGTTCCAGCTAGATCAAGCTGGCTTGAGGGATGCACAGCCCAAGGTTCGTGCATTGCAACCTTGGCTGGCTGGAGAACCTGGAGATGGGAGAGAACACGACAAGCCTCACAGCACCTGGCCTAACAGTGGAAGAGCCCCTGAGCCACAGGACAGGTATGCCCATTTGGCTTGACACAGAGCATGCTACCTACTCCCTGTGTAGGTGGTAGGAGACCTTGCTGTTGACCTGGATGTTCAGGCTGGGGAAGCCTGGGGGTTGGGAAGCAGGATGTGGGGAGCTGCGGTTTGGGAAGATGATGCTTTCCTCTGTCTTCTCTCACCTTCTCCTTCTCTTTAGGGCCTCCTGGGGGTTGGGAGCCTGGGATAAAGTGTTGTAATTACATGATTTAGAAATCGAGTGGGAGAGAGTCTTTCACACCCTTTGGGTTCTGAGTCTAATCCAAAAGAATTCGAGGATGGAGAGGAAAAGCACGCAGCCTCCTGTTCACTAAATCCAGCAAGTTCATTCTTGCCCCCCACAACTCGCCCTGTGGAGGAACATGTGGCCAAGAGAGGCTGACACTGCTAAAGGCCACTGGGCCCTGCCTCACTCTTCAAAGTCATACCACGCACCTGCCGGTCAGGCTCACCTGGTGATCACGTAGGGCGCGAAGCACACAAGGAAGGTCCCTATGAAGGTGCTGATCTTCTTGGTGGCTCGCTGCCGCCTCCGCTTCTGCTCCTCCAGACAGCGTTCCCGCACACTGCATGTGAGAGAGGAGAGAAGGTGACCTATGGCGCACCCTTGCTAGGCCAGGATGAGGCACTATTTAGAAACACAGGCAGTGGTCTCTCATGTGAGAACTTGACTGTGGAGTCAGAAAAAGCCAGGGTCAAGTCTGGGCTGTAGCTATTGACCAGCAGTATGACATTGCTAAGCCTCAAGGTCCTCACGTATAAAATAACAAGATGTGGCATATGTTTTAGTGTATTATACGTAATGTAATAAAATACTACAAGAGGCTATTTTGAGAATTAAATGCATAAAGCAGAGAAGCATGAAATGCATTCCATGTGTGAAGCACACAAAGCTACCGGGGGTGCCCCAGTCAGTACAAATAAACGTTAAACATGACCTCTTATTATTGCTTGGATCGTTCACTGATCATCTGCTATGGGCTGGCTCCAGAGGCCCCACTCTCTAAGTCGTATCTCAAATTCCTGTCTTTACCACAATCAATCCTGGCAGGTGTGTTTTACCTGCAAGGCAAGTTTTTACCTGCCCTGGTTTACAATAAAAACCATGAGCTCAGCCGGGCACAGTGGCTCACACCTATACTCCTAGCACTTTGGGAGGCTGAGGCGGGCACATCACCTGAGGTCAGGGGTTCAAAACCAGCCTGAACAACATGGTAAAACCTCATCACTACTAAAAATACAAAAATTAGCTGGGCATGGTGGTGGGCTCCCGTAATTCCATCTACTTGGAAGGCTGAGAAGGAGAATCACTTGAACCCAGGAGGCATAGGTTGCAGTGAGCCAAGACCACATCATTGCACTCCAGCCTGGGCAAGAAGAGTGACCCTCTCTGGGCCTCCAGGGACCTGGTGGACATGGTTTCCTAACCTTAATGGCACCGGACCTGCCATGGAGCACAAAGGGTGTCTCTACAGTGGATGCTGTGCTGGGATTCACAACCACATGGGCCTGGTCATGCCTCTGCTTTGGGACAGACCAGCAAGACACCACAGCCATGTGTAGTATGAAAGGCTGGCTCATCCATGTACCCCAGATCACAGATGGGGAAACTGAGGCTCAAAGGAGAGAGGGATTTGTCCACCCAGAGAATGCAGTGCAGGTGGGGCTAGCACCCACTCCCTGACTCCTAGTCTGGTGCTCCTAGCTGGGAGCCACGTCACTCCTTTCCTGAACTCTTTCCAAAGAAAAGGATAAATTCATCTCTCCTGCCTGAGGCTCTCCTGCTTTCCAGGTGAGAACAGGGAGGTGGCAAGAAGTGAGCAAGACAGGGCAGTCCCTAGGCTCCGAGGGAAGCAGCACAGCCCTCTTGCTTATTATTAAGATTATTATTTAAGCATGGTATGAGAACAGCTTACCTGCTCCCAGAACAACCATTTTGCTCTTGCTGTCCTTTCCCCCCTACCATAGCTTTGCAAAACTGAGCTCTTAAAAATCTTGCAGGCTTGTATGCTGTAACTTTCAGATGAGAACACTGAGGACTGGGAAGTTTCCAACATGCCCAAGGTTACACTGTGCGTTCAGGACAGAGCCAGCCCTCTTCCCAGGTCTCCTGAGTGAGTTCTGGGTGTGGCTCCATGATTCTGCCTGCCATTCACTGAGTGGCAGGCATACTCAAACATCCCCTGGCCTGGTGATGACATCCAGAGTCCTCAGACCTGCAGGCAGAATCTGTGGGGCAGAGGGTGTGAGACTCAAAGTTCTCATGATGCAACCTGGCCAGGTATGTTTGACCAGACTGCGAGCATGTGTGTCGGTGTGTCGGGGAAGGAGGGGGGAAGGTCCTGAGGCTGTGTTATGACAAAGGGCTTCCTCGAGACAAAAGGAGACAGACTCTCTAGCATTGTGACATGTGGGGTTGAAGAGATGTTCCCCAGTGGCTCCAGTCACAGGGCAGAGGGGATGGCACATTCAAGAATATCTGAGAAGTCAATCAATGAGGTGATCTCAGCTAACACCTTCCAGCCACAGACACCTCCCTGCTCTCTGCAATAGGCCTGGGTCCTGAAGCATCCCTAGACAACTGGAGTCCAGCCAGAGCCCATGCTCTGAGTACTTAGGGAGTGACTCAGATTGGTTTTTCTGTGTTTTAAGGCAAGGGAACGAGCTGACCGATGGAGGGCAAGAGCCCTGAGTTCCAAGTCAGGACACTGGCATAAGCAGTCTGGCCCTCAATACAATACAGTCCCTTAGCCCCACAATACAATAAAGAGTTCATGGGGCTAAGGGGATGTGCCTACACACAGCCGCCACCTTCCATTCCAAATCAAGCTCTAAATGCCTGAAACACGGAATTCTTTGCCCAAATGCCCTCATCCTGCCTGCAAGATGTGTGTGGGCACCTCCCCTGGTCCCACCTCCTGAGGGTAGACTGTACCGCCTGTGTGCTCAGCTAGATGCCTGAGAGGTGGCGTTTGTGAGCAACACATGAGCATGGAGCATGGGTGTGCAACCTGCAATGTGCTCCTTGTGCAAGGGAGGCCCCTCATGGTGCTGGGTAGAGCCAGGGTGGGGGGCAAGGCAGGTGGGCCAGCTCGGCTCTCCCATGGTGTACGAGGCTGACCCCCAAGGAGCCTGAGAATTCTAAATCTGAACCCAGACTTGCGGGTCATGATAAAGGTATATTCACCAAGGCAGGAGGGCAGAACACATTTCATTTAACAGTTTGTAAGATTAACGTAGAACTTCTAAATCTCTTTCTATATATACAGTTGGTGAGCCTCCATTTGCACTATTGCTCCCTCCATAAATCTTAGCGGCAGACCTGGGTGTGAGTCTTAGCTTGAGACACTTTTTTCTTTTTTTCTGGGATGGAGTCTTGCTCTGTTGCCCAAGCTGGAGTGCAGTGGCGTGATCTTGGCTCATTGCAACCTCCGCCAGCTTGAGACACTTTCTAGATCTGCTGAATTAGCTGAATGCTTCTCTTTTCTTCAAAAATTGGGTCTCCCATTTTCTCATCTGTAAAGTCAAGGGCACAGCACAGTTCCTGTCTACTGGGCCACAATTCAGACACCCTCCAGAGTCAGTCAATCAGCCAACATGTGCAGACATTGCTCACAGGACAAGGAGGACACGCTGGGGGATCCAGCAGAGCCTCAGGGAGCCTCAGAGGAAGCTCCAGTTAGTCTCGGAACTGCTTCCCTTTTGAGATCTCATCATCAGTGTTCTGCTTCTGTTAATCACTAAGCCAAGCTGGTGAGCAGGGAAAGAGAAAAGTCCCTGCAACCGCACCCTGGTGCCCATCTTCTCTGCCATGCCTGGCAGCACCAGGAGAGGGGCTCCCTATAACTAGTCCCAAGTTGTGGTTTGGGAGAACTGAATGTTGCTCTTGCAGGTGGAGGACCAGGTGTCTAACAAATATTAGAAACTCCTAACTGCTTCGGAAATGTAACTCAAGAAATCGCCACAAAAAGGCAGGAGTGGGGGATGCCACCAAGGGTCCCAGGTTGAATTAAGAAGAGAGGGTCCCAGGTGTTTTGGAGGTGGTTGAAGCAAAGGGGTGAGGACTGCTACTTATCACGCTAAACATCCTGCAGGCAGAGCAGACACCACCAGGGAGCTTCCTGACAAAGACAAATGTCACCCTGGGTCCTCAAACAGGTACCTTGTAATTAAGTCCCAGGAAGCCATCAGTGTGGAGGTTGACAAAACTTCCAGTGAGCGAAGACTCCAGCTGCTACCCTGGCTGTCCAGCGGGAGAAGCTGGCTCCTGCTGCCCAAGACCAGCACTCCCGGGTCCCACAGGCTCCCAGCACAGAATGGCCCTGGGAAACTTAGTGGCTGAGACTGGTGCCACCAGGGGCAGCTCCTGAGCTAGCTCTGTACCTGCTCATTTGTAGGGAGGAAGAGTTTGGTGCTGCCGAGATAGAAGCTGGTGGACTGGCTGTCAGGGTCTCTTGTGGACCGGCTGTCCCCTCCTGTCCCTCCCACACACCTGGTGGGGACCAACCCCCCAGAGAAGGACAAATTTGTGTTCACTGAAGGGTTAGTGCTATCAGGTCTGCCACGATCCATGACCTCAGGGAGCATTAGTCAAGGGGGCCTGTTGGCACTGGGCCCAGCCACAGAAGCCTTTCCTCTCTGCAACAAGACTGGGCCTGGAGGATCCTGGAGCACTGGAAGCAGGGGCTCCTCAAAGCAGCCTGCGGCTAAGAAGAGATCAAGGTCCTCCCAGAGACGTGGAGGGGAGACCAAAGGCGAGCAGAGTAGCTGCCTCCACTCCTGAGAACCCAGGACTCTCTGCCGTGTCTGGCCTGGTGTCAGCCAGAAGGATTTGCAGGAGTGGAGCTGGCCCTACATCCCAAATAGGCCGAGCAGGAACCACAGCCCCTCCTCTTCTGGAAGTTGGAGAAGGAGTGGGAATGCAGTTTGTACTGCTCTAAATAAGAACTGGTTCCACTCCCAGCTCAACCCTCCTCTGCTGTTAGACTCATGGTGAGAGGCCCCCTCTAGGAATCTGTGGTCCTGAGAGTCAAACGACATTGCCCTACATCTTCTAAGAGCAGTCCCAGTGCAGGCGCTAAGGATACACCCTCTAAGGAAAAGCGTCTCAACCCTGAGTCGTGGAAAGGGGAATAGCTCTGCAATTGTGGTTGCAGATATTTCCTTGAAGGACACAGAACCATGCAGAGACACGTGCCATGAGAGCTAGTGTATGTCTTTGTGGCAGACTGCACGTGTGCCATGCCTATCACCTGTGTACCCACGGCCAGCTGTCTGGTAGGTATGCGGTTTATGTGTGAACACATAGGATTTTGAGTGGAGCTCCCAAATGTACATGTCCTGGTATCTATGTGCTCTCAGTCACTGGCATGTACATTTTGTTTCTGAATCTGTGGGGATTCTGTAGCTGGAAGATTGGTCCAGTGTGCAGTCAGGGATGGCTGCGCTCCGGGGGAAATGAACACGTGCACACTTGCCCTTCAATGTACTGGCCCAGTGAAGGTCAAGTACTGCTTGCCACTGCTCTCATGCAGGAAATACACAGAATGCTCAGCCTGACACCTCCAGTCTTTCCCTCAATGCTGGTGTGGAACATATACACCAGATGATGGAGCCTCCTCTGCCCCGAGGCTCCCCTGGGTTCTCTCACACAGAGGCCCTCACTGGCCCTGACAGAGCCCTCTGCCTGCCTCACCTGCCACACCATCTGGACCCCAGCACCCCCTTATCTGGGGTCCCAGGAGACAGAGTGAGCCTGCCTTTCCCTGGGACAACAGGATGTAAAATAGCAGAGTCCAGATGCTGCCAGATGTTTCCCTCCTCGATTTCCTATTCTCCCAGGGAAAGCCGAGGTGAGCTCAGGACAGCACAGCTAAGAGTTCCCTCCTTTTCTCCCTGACAGGCTCCTGCGGATGGCAGGGGTTTGCAGAGAATACCCATGCTTGCCAGGCTCCATCTGCCCTCCTGAGAACAGAAGCCAGCATGAGGACGGAGATGGGGGCAGATTCAGCCCCAGCAGCCTTAGGGCGACACTCCTTCTGCAGGAGCCTCTAGGCACCAAGTCTGGGGGACACTGGATGGTGCTCTCTGGGGAGGGCAGGAAGAGTTCCCTGCCACACCCCTCAGAGCCCACCGCAGGGAGGATGCAGCCCGAGTACTTTGGAATTCACACACACATGGTCGGAGACAGAGGCAGCGCCATACACCCGAGAAAAGACTCAGAGAAGCGACACATCTGGGTTTGGAGAGCTCTTAAGGAGCTCCCTGAGCATCAAGGCCACCCTCTCAGGGCCAGATTCAAACACTTGGAAGTTCTTTAACAGGGAACAAAGACCATGGGCTTCCCATGTGCCGTTTAAAGTGAAAGCTACAAACACAGAAAATGAGCATGAAGAAGCTCAACAGAGTTCTGTCTGTGATTTCTACCCTGATGCTTCACAAAACTATGTATAGATGGGCTCAGCCACATACTTTGCGGCCCTGGTTTGCTGTTACCCTAAGTACTTGCTTAAGCCCCACAGCCCGGGCTGCTCCCCACCCTCGTGTTCCCAGAAGACATAGAGGCTTGGTGGAAAAGAGCCCGTGGGGCTGGGGAACTCCCACTCCCGCCGAGATCCCACGCAGCTGTTCCCAGAGCCCTCGCGGGGCTCCGCTCACCTGGGGTGCAGGTCCACGAGCAGCACAAGCGTCTGCATGGTGATCACGTCGATGCGCTTGCAGTGGAAGCGGGCCACCTTGAGCACCTTGAGGTACGTGCAGCAGAGCACGACGAAGGAGAGCAGGAAGCTGAGAGCGTGGAAGGCGCCGGTGAAGACTGCGAAGCGCAGGCGCTCGTCGGGCCGTCGGCTGCACAGCGTGCACGAGGCGTACAGCTGGTGGAAGCCGAGCCAGGACAGGGCAAGCGCGGCGGCGGGGAAGGTGAGCGCGTGCAGCCACGTGTAGGCCACCATGAGCGCAGCGTCTCGGAGGCGCATCTTGGCCCGGTAGCTCAGCGGAAAGACCACGGCCACCCAGCGGTCGATGCTGAGCGCGGCCATGCTGAGCATGGAGTTGGCCGCCAGGAAGGTGTCGAGGAAGGCGGCCAGGCGGCACAGGCGGTCGCCCGCGGGCTGCCGCTGCGCCACGACGCCGGCCAGCGTGAGCGGCATGTTGACCACGGTGCACAGCAGGTTCCCGCACGTGAGGTTCAGGGTGAAGAGCGCTGGCGCCTGGCGGCGGATGTCCGGGCTGTGCAGCAGGCAGAGCAGCACCAGCGCGTTGGACAGCAGCGAGACGCCCATCGTGCCCACCAGCAGCCCCGCCAGGCCCGCGTCCCACGAGTTCATGGTGCGCGCCCCAGCCGGCGCTCAGGGCCCGCAACCCGGCGCCGCCATGGCGCAGCCCGCGGCCGTCTCAGCCCCTGGGCGCCGCCGCCGCCCGCCGACCCCCGGCCCTAGCCGCCATGGCTCCCCGGAGGGCGCGCGGCCACCCCGGAGCCTCGGGCAGCCTCCCGGGCAGACGTCTGGGCGCGCAGCCACTCTGGAGCCCCGCGCCGCCTCCCGGGCAGGGACCTGGCGCGAGGCAGTGAACCCCGGCCCCCCGCAGCACCTCTGAGGCCAGCGCGGAAGTGCGCTGCCGAACCTGAAGCCTTCAGCGCCCCGGGATCCTGGGTTGCAGGCACCTGCGTCCCAGCTCCGCCTCTGCCTCTGCTTCCTCCTGCTCTCACCCCATCCCTGCGAGCTCTGTCTCCGCTCAGCTCCGCTCCGCGCACCCTTCCGCTCTCTTGCTTTCTCTTGCTGGCGCTCTCTGTTCTCCCCTCCACCTCTCTCCCTCTCCCCGTGCCCCACCCCCCGCGCTGTTCTCTCCGTCTGTCTCTCCCACCCCCAATTTTCTCCTCCCCTCTTGTTCTTCCCCCTCCTCTTCTCTGTCTCTGGAATCTGGCTGCTTCTATCAAAGAAATTCCCACTGGTGCACACGCAGACACACTCACACTTACGGGCTCAGAAGGAACCAGCCCTAAAGGCTCCCGTGCAGGGTGATTGGCTCACTGTGGCTCCCTTCCCCCCTCAGCCCCATCCCCCAGTGTGTGTCAAAAACAGGCTGAGTCAGGGAAATCTCTCTGAGAAAAGGAAGGGATGCCTGGACACCTTCACGCCCCAGTGCCACCTGTCCCCGCCTGCATGTCATCCTGCCAGACCCAGTCTGCCTGTCCCAAGAACAGCTGCTACGTGCCTGGGATTGCACGATGCACAGTGCCTTCTTTCCCTCACCCAACAGCCGGAGCTTCAGTGGCATCCTAAGCCTGCTGCAGGGACCCCGAGGCTCTCTGTAACATCCCTTGGGCATCTCTCCAGCTGGGAGCGGCCTTTATCTGACCCCGACTGCTCCCACCTGGGCAGGCCAGGCTGTCCACAATCAGCCTGGCCAGCAGCCCTGGTGTGATGGATACTTGGCTGTCCTGCCCTGAGTTCCAGCAGCTGCCTTCTGCAGCCCTAAAGCCACACACTCATCTGCCCTGAGTCTGGTGAGGCAGCACGTTCTAATTTATGAAGGCCTTGCCTGTCATAACATGCCAGAACTCTTCAGAAAATGGGGAGGGTGCCAGCTGCCTGGTTCAGGTCACAGGGACCCTGGACACATGGGACCCCTGCCTCCCCACAGGAAAGTGTGCAGGGACTGTGGCCCTTCTGTTGTCAATCAAAACTCTGTGGGAAGGGGGCAGACAGGGGCAGCTCTCAGGGCCACTGCAGCTCCCTTCACCTCCATGAGACGCTGCCCTGCAGTGATCCACTGCACCATGTCAGCAACCTCAGGTCCCTATGCTAGGCACAGACAGCCCTATCCCAAAGCTTCCTGGTGTGGCCAGTGGTGACTGGACATTCCTGGGCCTCAAGCCGCTAGATAAAGTACTCCAAGCAAGGACCTGGTTGACTCTATCCCATGAAGGTGGAGCCCTCATTGTATTTAATCATCTCCCTTCACATAGTACCAAGCACATCATAATACCAAGATGCTGTATTATGCCATTTTCTTTGCCCTTAAGGAATACCTGAGATTGGGTAATTTATAAAGCAAAGAGGTTGAATTGGCTCATGATTCTGCAAGGTGTGCAATTGTGGCTCCAGCATCTGCTCAGCTTCCGATGAGGGCCTCAGGAAGCTTCTCATCATGGCAAAGGGCAAAATGGGAGCAGGCATGTCGCATAGCAAGAGTGAAAGCAAGGAGAAGGGGGAGGTCCCAGACTTGTAAATCACCAGACCTCTCATGGACTGAGAAGTCATTCAGCGTGGTGCCAACTCATTCATGAGGGATCTGCCCCCACGATCCAATCACCTCCACCAGGGCCCACCTCCAACACTGGGGATTATGTTTCAGTATGAGATTTGGAGGGGACAAATATCCAAACTTTATTAGATGCTCATGAAATTAGGTGTCAGGAGGGTAGAAATGAGATGCCCTCTCTTCTCTGTGTGTCCACAGATGACACTCATTGACAGCTATTTGAGTGACTGACAACTGCAGACAGTGGCGTTCTGGAGCCAGCTCACACCAGCTCACACCAACTCATACCAGCTCACACCAGCTCACACCAACTCATACCAGCTCACACCAACTCACAAGGGGTTTCTGCTTCAGTGGTAGCATGTTGGTAGCTTAAAATCCACTACAGCGAGAGTTTTCGCCCTATAGAAATCAGCAAACTCCACAAATCAGGGCTCTTCCCACCCCAGCGTGTGGTTAAACATTTAACAACACACCACTCACTGACTTCACAGGACCCTGGGCAAGTTACTCAGCATCACTGAGGCGAGGATTCCTTATTTACGTTTCAGAGCTGTGGTGATGACCACATAAGGTAAGGCATGTTGAGTTTTACTTCCCAGAGAAGAAAACAGAGCAGAATGCTAACAACATCTTCATCCCTTGGCTCCCCTCATGTGGCCGACAGATTTCAGTGTTGGCTACATGTCTTCATTGAACACTTGGTACATGACAGTAGAGGACATTGTTCATCTGTGTGTCTTTCCTGCTGCCAAAGAAGTGTCCCCAACAAATAGCTCCTGGCATGCAATAGGAGCTATTTGTGCTATAGTTTGAATGTGTCCCCCGTAGTTGATGTGTTGGAAACTTGATTCCCAATGCAGCAGTGTTGGGAGGTGGGGCCCAATGGGAGGTGTCTGAGTCATGGAGGCACTACCTTCATAAATAGATTACTGTCATTATCATGGGAATGGGTTTTTTATAAAAAGATGAGTTTGGGCCGGGCGCGGTGGCTCAAGCCTGTAATCCCAGCATTTTGGGAGGCCGAGGCGGGTGGATCACGAGGTCAAGAGATCGAGACCATCCAGGTCAACATGGTGAAACCCTGTCTCTACTAAAGATACAAAAAATTAGCTGGGCATGGTGGTGCGTGCCTGTAATCCCAGCTACTCAGGACGCTGAGGCAGGAGAATTGGCTGAACCCAGGAGGCGGAGGTTGCGGTGAGCAGAGATCGCGCCATTGCACTCCAGCCTGGGTAACAAGAGTGAAACTCTGTCTCAAAAAAAAAAAAAAGAAAGAAAAAAAAGAAAAGATGAATTTGCCCCCTTTCTCTCTCTCTCTCTCTCTCCCCCCTCCTTTGCTCTCTCTCTCCCCGTCTCTCTCACTCTCCCCGTCTCTCTCTCTCTCCCCGTCTCTCTCTCTCCCCCGTCTCTCTCTCTCCCCCGTCTCTCTCTCTCTCCCCGTCTCTCTCTCTCTCTCTCCCCCCTTCTCTCTCTCTCTCTCCCATTCTCTCTCTCTCTCTCTCCTCTTCTCTCTCTCTCCCCCTCCCTTTGCTCTTCTACTTTCCATCAGGGGATGATGTAGCAAGAAGACCCTTACCAGATACCAGTCCCTCAATTTTGGACTTCCTAGCATCCAGAACTATGAACAATAAATTTCTACTCATTACAAATTACCAAGTCTCAGGTGTTCTGTTTTATCAGCATGAAACAGACTAAGACAGTGCTCAAGTACTGTCTGTGGAGTAAGTCAACCGATGTTTTGGGGTCACTATTGGATCTATGATTCTCACACTTCAGTGTATATCAGAGTCACCTGGTAAACCTGGGGTGCCAGTTAAAGAGTTTGATTCCTGGGTCATACCCCTGGTGTTTCCATATCAGAAGGTCTGGAAGTCTGTATTTTCATGAGCTCCTTAGGTCGTTCTGGTGAGGGTGGTCTGTGGTCATGCTCTCAGGAGTGTGCTCTATGATTAGGGGTCAGAGTAAGAAACTGGATACCTAAGAATTACCTGGGCACATCCTCCAACCATGGCCTGATGTTCTGGCCTGGAGGCCCTCACTGAAGGCTCACCATAGACTCTAGACACACAAGTTCCCATTTATATTTTTGTATATTTATATAAATGTTTATTTACATTTATATTGACAATATAACATGTCAATTAATATCCTCCTAGCACATTGGAGTTTATAAAACATGTCAAACATTATCATACTTTATTTAGTTCTTGCAACAAAGAGGAAGAAAAGCTTTTATTCCTGCCCCACATTTTCCAGATGAGAACACACAGACTCAAAGAAGTGAAGTGACAGAGTTGGTGAGAATGAAGCCAGTACCTCTAGCTCCATGGCTTGGATCTTTCTGCATAGTACAGAGGTCTTCAGCCACCTTCTCAGGAAGGTGTCCTGGGACTGTAACGTAAAAATAGCTCAATTTTGCAACACCAAAATGATGTTGGTGACCTGGTAGCTAGGTCTAACATCAATAAACCAATAAACACACATACATGCCCCTGACACACACACGCATACTCACACATACACATTCCTGTATTAGCTCATATCATTTTAAAGATCATTTGCTTTCTGAATTCCTAAAGGCAAGATTGAAAGGCTAAAATGCCAGAAAGACACTCAGAATATATTAACTCAGTTTTCTAAAGAAACTGAGCTCATTTTCCTCTAGTTTTGAGCAAACTTCCCTGCCCTCAGTTGGTCTATTGGAGGGCTGATATCCCATAATAACCAGGCCACCAGTCCTGTTGGCTTCAGCCAGGCTGAACTTCCCCAAACATGGGTTCCAGTATGGCCCCAGATACCAGTTGGCAGTGAGACTACACTCAGCAAGGAGAGGAGATGCATGTCTCCATCCAGGCTTGGATACAAGTCCTTACTCCACCTCCATGAAAAGCCACCATGGTCCATTCCACCTGACCAGGGGCAAGAAGGCCTGAAGTGTGCCCACCAGGGGAACACACTGTGGCTGGATCTGCATGGCATGCTCCTTCTAGCTGGAAAGAAGTCAGCAGCGATGGAATGTTCATGACAGAGTCAACATGAATCACTAAATGCTGTTACTGGAACCCAAGGGA